TTAGCTCACAACTACATATGCTTTCTGATGACTGGTTGAAAGCACTTGTGCAGAATACCAATTTCACCCTGCTGTATTTGGAGAATGAACATTCATTTTAGCTACTAGGTTTTCAAGAAAATTGGTCCCCAATCAGGATATCAAGAAAAATAATGCTGTAAAATTGACTTCTCACACCACAAATGATCACTAGTGAATAATCAGCATAAACAAAGACCAGGAAATACTTCATCAGTTAAAGATGATTGCATAGATGATTTTGGTACAATTACAAGCAACTTGCACAGTTTTTTTTCATTTTGTTAAACTAGATGCAAATGGAGAATAAGGTTAAAAATCTGTGCTGGACAGGGATTTGTGATCCTTGAGTTCATTCATTGCCTCTGGCACTGAGCTGCTGGCTAACTCTAGGGAAACTGTTCCATCTTCCTGTGTGCAAAGGTCCCACCTATAAAAAAGAGGTAACGGTTTCTATTTCTCTAGTTGTGTGAGGAATGCTGCAGAAAAAAAGCAGGTTTGAAATGGAATAAATGACCATCTCCTCTTCAATTTTTCATGCTCCAACACCTTCTCTTCCTTCCCTATACACTTGGGCAACTACTGAAAGCTGGTGGGGCTTTCACCAGCTGGTCTCAGAGAGTTGTTCCTTTTCTCTTTCTTGTGAACAAGATACAGCTGCTCTGCTCCAAGATCTGCTTCTACTTGACTGCAGACCATTTTTTATTGGCCTTCCTAATTTCTCACTATTTTTCCTTGAAGTGATCCAAAAGGCTGCTGCTAAACCCTTACCTATATTCACCCTGTGACACAGCTAACAGATTTGTATCTGAATTTCACCTCCCAGCCTCCTGGAGTTTTCTGATCTCCATCTCTCCTTGTCTCAACTGATCAGCAATGCCAAATCTGCTGCCAGCATGGCTTAGTGGTTGGCCTGTGTCCAGCACTTGCCTTTCCTTCTGACTTCTCCTGTCCTGGGCCTGCACCTCCCTTCCTGGCCACCTCCAGGCTCCATGACTAGTACCCTGGAATGTCTTTGTTCTGAGCTGCTTCCTCAGGTATCCCTTTGGCCTTTGACCCTACTCATGGTTCAGCATCGAAAATATTGCATATTCCAGTAATTTTCTAGTAATCCTGCTTCAGGGGTCACACTGATTTCCAGGGAACCTCTGTACCTCTGTTGTTTTTGTGTTTGGCATCGGGTGATATGTTACAAAGGGGAAGAAAACTGTTCTTCACTTCTAGCTCTGTGTGGAGCTTTCTGTGCTAGAACACTTCATTGTAGCACTCAGTGACCTTTGTAACTCTGAATGCATGAGCACAAATGTGCACAGGAGTTTAATACTTAAGGATTTTTAAAAGTATGGGAGGAAGAGATGAACAACTAATTTTTGAATACTCAACAGTACTGTAAAAAGCAACTTGTTGAGACACAGAGAGTTTTGCAAATTTTCAGGGTCCTAGAAACAGCTGTTGCAGACTATTTGAATCTTGTTTGCAAGACAAAATTTTTAAAAGATTGAACAAAACCAACTCCTAGAGTTTTGTCTTTGGAAAATGTACTACAGTTATGTATTAACACCAGAAAAAGGCTTTGAGTCAACAATAACTAAAATGGTACAGTAACTAGATTCAAGCATGCAGACTCACAGTTCATTTTTATGTGTCCAATAAGATTATTTTCATGCTGCTTCTTAAACTGTCCCAGAAGAGTATGGTATGTCAGTTCATGGGCTTTTATCACTGAGAATGGTGTTTTAAAGTACAAATATACATTCAGTCTTCAGCTATGAAATATTATCTCCCTTCAGAAGTCAACTGGAAGTCAGAGAAGAGATAAATTAATAATTACAAATGCTTCATAACTGCACATCAAGTCCAGTAGTCTTCCATTAATTGAAAATCCAAGCCCATCATGAGATCAATGGGAATTTTCTGTTGACCTTAGCAGGGAGATAAGCTCGTACACTCTTTGAAGGTAAGCTCGCTTGCCCAGATTGGTGTTGGTTGCAGTTCTCTACCTTGCAACATTAATGTCCTTGAAGCAGAAGAGGGATCATATTTTACAGCCCCTCAGTCCTCTGGGTCTGTGTTTTTCACCCTTTCTGCTTCCCTCTGCAGCAAAGCTGTGCACTGTTCAGCCTTTAACCCTTCTTTCCACATGATCTCTCTCATTTTTGCAGTAATTGGTTCACCTCAGGCTCAACTCACTCAATCAGGGTGCTGTGAGCTGGCCAGAGGGTCTCACAAAGGTGCTGATTAACCACCTCCAGGACTATGACCCTCTGTCCATCTTCTGGCATCCTGCAGAGTCAGAGAAGGTGGGGACTGCGTGATCAGCATGAGAAGTTCATTAAAAAGTTAGCAAACAGCTTCTAAACAACAAAGAATGGAAAATGGCAGCTCTGGCAACTCCTTGAAGCTCTATCAAAGCGACGGGAGAGCTTGATGGATGCTCTCAGCTGCAGCAGTGGCAGCATCCCCAAGGTGAATGTCAGGCAAGGGCACACTGACTCCGAGGCTGAGGATGGTGGCAGAAGAGATCCCTGGGGGTGGTGCTGCGAGCAAGGGCACTGAAACCTCTCTGCATTGAGTCTCACATCTGCATCACCCATTTTGGGGCCTGAACTCAGATTTGTTTGCAGCTGGAGGAAAGGTAACAGCAGGTGACACAGCAGCTCTAGAGAAGAATGGCAGCAGCAGCCCAAATTTGGGAAATATATCTGCACTTTTGATGTCCTTCTTGAGGAAGTTACAGGAAAGACAGGAGGGATTTTGTTGTTAAGACCAAGAAAATGGAGGCTACTCTGTATGACAAACTATCCTTTAATGTCATTTGTGGAGGAAGCCATGAGTCTCCCTCAGCCCATTCTCTTCAGTCTCTGATCAAAGATGGAAGTCAAGCAGAAGACAAAATTAGGCGTGCAATTTCCGATTCATTCTCACTAGGTTTGTGCTGATGGCTTAAACAAAAAAATATCAAAGCTGGGATTACAGGCTTAGCAAGAGGAGTGCATATTTCAGCACATACTGGGCTCTTTGTTGTTCTGTCACACTGGTAGAATGAGACTATTAATGCATTGTCCCAGGCAGGCTGCATTATAAAGCCCAGTGGCTAAGTTAAATGAAAAAGACCAGTAAGAAAAGCAGTGTGCAGCTTCCCACTGCTCCCTTTTCCTTGCAGAAATGTCTAGATGAGGCAGGGGAGAGGCGATGAATGAAGTTGTAAGAACATTTCATAGAGGAGACATTCAAGATAGTCAATAAGGTTCCTCAGTAAAGATTTCTAGCATCTACTCACTGCCCTACAAATTTTCCTGACTTTCTGAAGTGCTATTTGTCAGAAGACCGCAAATATTCCCTCTTTGTGCACAGGGATGGAATTACATGGTGGGCTTCCTCCAGTTACCTGTTCAGCATTTTCCAAGTGTCTGTGGCACACAGGGGCACAGGCATCCCGTTATTAACCATAACATTAGGATGAAAACAAAGTCCTTGCTTCTCAAAAAGAAAATTTAAAGGTTGTTCAACATTTTGCATCAATGTGAGAGTTATCTGAAGAGGGCTTGCCTAATACTTACTTGGTATGCCAGTAACAACAGGTTTTAGCATTCCTTACGAAAGACCAGCAGTGGCCCCAGTGCAATTTAGGAAATCTTGTCTCTTAATATCTGTTACTCATTCATGTGTGCTAGTTAAACTCCCTGGCAGTAGTGAAATCCACACTTTTTCTTGCCTCCTAGATGCAGAATTTGTGAGTGTCTGGTGCTGAGCCAGCCAGCCAAAAACTCGCTATTCCTTGCACAGATTAGTTGCCAATTAACAGTAACAACCTGCTCTGAAATAATATTATGGCCTTTAAATTTTGGCCACCCCTGATCAGGATGATCCCTAAGGAAGTTGTTGGGTTGAGACCCAAAGCCACCACCCACTCCCTCAGCACTGCAAAGCAGGTTCTCTTTCAGCTCTGGCTGTCTGCTAGGCTGCTCAGCTGAGACTGACAGCCAGTTTTGGGGAATCATTGCTCATTGCAGCTCATAACAAGTGCATCACTCCACTGCAGGAGGATTCCAGTCTCCTGTGAGATCTGCCATTGCTTTCTGGGAATCATAAATGAGCCCTGAAGTGTCTCCAGTGCCCCTCCAGTGCAGGTACTGCAGGGCAAGGGCGGCAGGCTGCCAGTCCTGGCAGGCTGGGGGATCATGGTGCAGGGTCAGGCACTGCTGGGGTGAGCGGGCAGGCTCACATGGGGGTACTGAGTCCATGTCTGCTCTGGGTTGGCATCCTATTGCAAAGCTCCCAGACCTTCTCGGTGGTTTCTTGTGGGCATCTCCTCACACCACTGATTCCTTCACAGCACAGACAAACTCTAACTCCCTTTGCAGCACAGCCAACCCATGCTTTTGTAGCGTTCATGCTCACTGGACACAGCTGTGGCCTGTTCCTAATCTTTGGTGATTAGCACCGCGGCAACTCCTCAGGGGTGAGACTACCTTCTGCACTATCTTTATTTTCTTACATTCTATCCCTCCACAGCTCTGGGGTGGGTCAGAAGAGCCACTGGTCTCCTTTTGCGCTCAGATTTTCTCTCCCTGCCTCTGAAAGCCACTCCCTGTGTCACCCCAAGCAAACCCATTCACCTGCCCATGTCTCAATTCCAGGCACTATCAACTGTGTCTGTGTAAATGGCTAAAGTACAAACAGTGGGTGAGCACCATCTATTCCAGGCATTTCATAGAGGAGAAACAGAGGATAGGTTATGTCAGGTACAACTACTCTTTTAATGTACAACTTAATGAACGTTTACAAAGGGCTCTGGGCACCAGGGTTTGTAAAGGTACAAATATAGCAATAAAGGCAGAAAATACTGTCTTGTCACAATGCTTCCTAGCTGTTTCTTCTCTCTTCAACACTGAACGAACCGGGAATGTCTTATTTTTTTCTTTCCCCAATGCTTACAATGTTTTGTTCTCTTTTTTGTATTTTTCAAAGGTATGTTGCCAGTGGGAAGAATGGCTGATATGAAGGAGAACGTTTCTAGGAGTCACTTTTCCCTAGGTTTGACATCCAGATCCTGCTGGTTCACAAACAGGCCACAGAGAGCTCTTGATGGACCAGCAGGTAAATCCTCATGGCTCTCCAATGCCACCTGGCTGCTGGTGTTGCTGGGGCAGTTTTGGGGAGCCCATCCAGCCCCAGCCATGCAGCCACTGCAGGCAGTCCAGCAGCACTCTGCTTATCCATCTGCAGTAGGATGGTGACTGGTGGGAACATCCTTCCCCATTTCCCCAGCCTGGGAAAAACTGAGTTGCTTTTTGGGCTGCTTTTATGGCAGAGATGGTGTTAAATAACAGTTGATAGTTGATCTGGCAACCTGTCTTCCTGTTGCTTAATTCTGAAGGAAAACAAGACTAAAATGAAAAGGCCTTTTCCTCTTTTATTTGTCATTTTACTAATTACAGTATTACAGCATTTTCCAAGGCCAATTATGTACTGTTTGGGGAGATTACCAGAGTGCAAAACCTACTATGGCATATTATACAGTGGTGGCCCATGGAAGAAAAGTAGTTAAATTCAAACCCTTATAATTTAATGTGTTTATCCTAATGCAGATTCCATATATACATGTACATAATAGCATCTGCACAACATTCAGCAATGTTTAAAACAGAATTTCTTCCCCATGAGAGAATGAATAAGTGATTTGTCATATGTTTCCTTTAATTCATGGCTACAGAGCATTTTAGAATTGCTTGATGTAAATCTGTCTCATCTATTTGACAACTCTGATATTGAGTCATTCATTTTTATTCTATGACTTAAAAATTTCTGTATTGCAGCTGGAGATGGGTGGCTAAAGTGCTAGTTTTGGACTATGGCTTGAATGTAACAATAGCTTTTGACCCTAGCTCCAGTCCCAAGGAAAGTGAATTTGGCAATCTCATTTCAATTCATAGTGAATAGCTGTTCACATAAAAAAATCAGCACCTACCATTTGTCATACTTGGCAGCTTCTGTTTAAGAATGGTCCAGAACTGCATTACCATGGAAACTAAATTACCTACTCCTACTCCTGGCTCGGAAGGTGATTTCAGCCAGTGGTGGAGGTTTCATATCGCTGACAGAAGGGGGTGGGGGTGACTGGCGGAGCTGCCACGTGTGTGACCCACAGGGACGCTCTCCTCAGCCCTCCCTCCTGAACATTGCCATCTTCTGGTCACTGCCATTGGGCTCACACCACATGGGCTTCTCTCACATCATGATTTATTTACTGATATTTCCTATGGTAACAGCTACCAGCTCCAATTGGGAGCAGGACTGTGTTGTGTTTAGTGCTGTACATGTGTTTAAAGACAATTTCTACTCTGGAGACCAGGCAAGCGTGAGAAGCTCCATATATTCCTTTTAAACTTGAAAATTAAAACAAGATAAGTGATTTGCTTGAGATTACACAGGAAAGTGCAGGCAGACCAAGCAAATAAATTCCTTTTCTTTATTCTCAGCACCCATCCAGGGTGTAACTTATCCAAACCACTTAATTCCTCTTCAGAATTACTACTAATTTGTGCCAGGTGAGTTGGAAATACCACATGGTTGGATAATTTTTGTTCCTGTCATCTACAAAAAGGCTGCTGATTCACAGGACAGTACTTTATTTCAAGTGAGCAAACTTAATGGATTAGAGATCAATGTTTACTGGACACTTTAAGTTTTTAAGGTTATTTAGATACTGTATGTTGATTTTGTAATAATAAGCAAAAACTGTGCTATAACCACTCCATCCTTCAATAATGACCAAAACAAAAGATGATTTCAATCTGCTGAGCTGCATATACCATCCCTTTTCCTCACAGATACTGTTTCTTATGAGATGTATTCTAGTGGAAACGCTAGAAAATAAATAAACATTAAAAAAACAACAATGATATAGAACACTTATGCTCAGAGAGCTAGAAAATGAGCAGAGAGAAACAAAAGTTTTGCCATTCCTAGTGTGGTGGCTTAGGTGCAAGGACAAATGCCCCATCAAGGCCAGGCTGGATAGGGCTCTGAACAACGTGGTCTAGTGGAAGGTGTCCCTGCCCATGACTTTTTAAGGTCTCCTCCAACCCAAAACCATTCCTCCTCTGAAGGAAGGCAACTTCAGAGACTCCTCTGAAGATTTAGCTCTTAGTGCATCAGATTAGCGCCATGGAGCAGGAGTCCTTCTCTTCCCAGCTGGAGGTGGATGCAGCTGGGAGGAACCAGGCCATGAGCACCCACCCCTGCAGGACGCCCAATCTGGTGGCAATCTGTGGCTTTCCCCCAGAGACTCCTGCCCCATCGTCCTTCACCCCTGGGCATGGGCTGCTCCCATCTCCTAGGGCACAGCAACAGCAGGGGCTGCTGAGCATGGACACCCCTCTTGCTTTGCCCTTGCCATGGCCCTGGCAGAGCATTTGGGTCTCTTCTGCTCTGCATTTGCTTTTTATATGCATCTTTCCTATTTAAGTGTCACAGATCACTGCACCAGCTGATTAGCCTATACATGAATGGAATATAAAAGAGCAAGTCCCCAAGTTATAGGTAAGACCTTTTGTGAGATTGACTGGCTAAAAATAAAATGGAAATTGGCTCTGAGCTTTTGAGAATCTGTCTCTTCCTCAGGCCACAGGAAAGAAGAGCAAGGGGTAGCACTTCATAATTAATTATGAATTTATAATTAATTTGAAGCCCACAATCAACAACCTAATAGAGGAACTGCTATTACTTCTGGATTTCCAGAGTCTATGTAAGAGTTTGATCCTCACAAGCAGTTTTCACAATTTCAGGGCCTTTTTCTATTAAGTTTGATTTTTTTTTCCCCAGCATCTTAGTGTTGTGTACAATTTTTTTTCTGTTTAAGGGACCAGATCAATAGCTGTACTGGGTCTCTAGGCTCACTACAAGTGAGTGCAAATGGTTACCCTCCCTGGGTAGGAATGATTTTCTTATTCATGTAGGTTTATGCATTGTTTTGAAGGTTGGTGCTTTTGGCAGATAAACAATGCAAAAATATTCTGTGCTTCTGCAGCACATAATCTGATCTTCATGGTATACAAAGACTCCTTACTCTGTGCTATAAATGCAGCATAACTTCTCTCCTCTCAGAGTTGCATGGGCCTTAAGCAGACTGGTGGGGTGGGAGTTTGAAAAGCAGTCAAGGCTGACCTTTTCCTGCCTCCCCCCTAACGCCGATGGTAAAAATTCCTGCTGACTTCAAGGAGAGTGGAGCTGGATCAGTGTTGAACACTTCTGAAAATCCCACCTGTAAAGCCTGCAGAGTTCATTACAGGGGCAAAATTTTGTATAAAGCCCAGCAGGGACATACAGAAATTGTTAGCAGCTTATTAATGGCCTTCACAGTGGATGTGTGTATTGAATTTAATTGGGCTGCATCCCAGTAAGGCCCTGATATGCTTATGATTAATTTTCTCTACAGTCTGCCTTTAACTTTTCTTTGAAACTGGATGGACACTCCATATTTGCACTTTTATAAAAGACTGGCAGTGAAATAAAGCATGCAGGTAATTATGCCCCAAGGAAGAGCTGTGACTGAGGTAGACCCTCAGTTAATGTATGGTAGAAATTTGGTGTCAATACCTCTTGATGTCCTGCAGAAATAAAGCAGCATTCAATGTGATACAATTTTTGTGGGTAAAAGCATGGTTAAGTTTCTTTGTATAAGGTGTGGTTAGTAGCGTGAAGACATAAAATAAGTGTTGAGCACAGTGACACACTTGAAAGGGCAGGTTATATTTATTCTGTGCTGTGTCAAGGGCATGCTGCTTGCTAACTGTAATTAGACAGTGTATCTGGAAGTCTGTGGCCAAATAGCAAAGATGTCTTTGCAGAGTATAAAAGGACTATTGTGTTAGTCCCTGGTCTCAGAGGGTATGAAGATGTTTCCCTCTCCTGTCTGCTATTACTCATACTTGGTTACTTTTATGTAAATTCAGCCATGAGGAGAGCTGACAAGACTGTGACATGAAGAAATTTCACCTTTTTCACTGAAACAGGGCTTTTATTGTCTAGTAATACTGTCTTATTGTCCCTGCAAAGGAAAGAAAGAGATGTTATTGAAAATCCCATAATTAGCAGCTTAAGGTATAAACCATATAGAACCCTGTGTTCTATGATAAATCCCCTAATTAGCTTTGTAGAAACTGTTTAAAAGCAAGCATACATGCATTCTTATCACTAAATAATTATTTGCAAATAAACTCTTTTTCAACATATCTTAGGAAAACACAAGATTATTAGTTGGCAGAGTTAAGCCAGCTGAGTAGCTGAAAAAGCATGAAAAGAGCTACAGAAGTTCTTTTGAGAATCCTGCTCTCTTTGGCATTATTTCTCTAAAGCTTGATTTATCAAGAGGAGAATACAGTATTCGGTTTCCCTATAAGTAAGTTCTTTTCATGTTTTGTCTTTGAAATGAAAATCGTCTTTTGGAACAAATATCTGCTCTATCAGATAACTGCATGCTTGTCATCCCTAGCAGTGTGCTGGCAGGAAGACTGGGCGAGGATTTTTCTGCAGTACATTGAGTACACAGTGCTGGCACTAGATCAAGAATCAATTCCTCTGATATCGAAATATTGACTTGGCATGGGCAGTCTGATTTAAATGCTTATCATTCCCGACTTTGTAGGCTACATACATACTGCAAACATTTTTCATTGTGGGTATGAGAATAAACATCTTTACAGCTGCCCGGCCATTTCTAGCAGAATAACAAAGGGGCTGTGTGCATGTATGGGAGCCTGTGTGTGTGAGCAAAACTGCCAGCAGATTAATGCAGCATCACTTCTGTGCAGGGCTGTTTAAGAGGAGTTGAGAAGGGTATTTTCAATATTTGGAATTACACAGCATTGTTTCTCTGAGTGCAAACACAGTTTTCACTGCTCAGTCTGGATAGGTGCTGGCCACCGAGCCAATGGAAGGGAGAACACAAACAAACCCCAACGCAATTATGAAAATATTTAAAAATCTTTGCAATGTGAAATAATACTACTACTAATACCACTAATAAGAAAGTAAAGATAATTTCCCCTAGGCAATCAGAACACCTATTAAGTTAGCAACGGCGTTTAATTGACATT